CAACAATGCTCAACGAGTAGCATTAGCCATTGTCACACCTGGTGGGTGTACAGTAATAAAGTTATCCTTTCGCTAGTTTACTCGCCTCCTCTTTTATCGCTTCGGGTGTTGAGGTGAACATAAAGTTCCTCTTTTATCACTTCAGGTGTCGAGGTGAACATAAGGTTCCTCTTTTATCACTTCGGGTGTCGAGGTGAACATAAAGTTCCTCTTTTATCACTTCGGGTGTCGAGGTGAACATAAAGTTCCTCTTTTATCGCTTCGGGTGTCGAGGTGAACATAAAGTTCCTCTTTTATCACTTCGGGTGTCGATGTGAACATAAAGTTCCTCTTTTATCACTTCGGGTGTCGAGGTGAACATAAAGTTCCTATTTTATCGCTTCGGGTGTCGAGGTGAACATAAAGTTCCTCTTTTATCACTTCGGGTGTCGAGGTGAACATAAAGTTCCTATTTTATCGCTTCGGGTGTCGAGGTGAACATAAAGTTCCTCTTTTATCGCTTCGAGTGTCGAGGTGAACATAAAGTTCCTCTTTTATCGCTTCGAGTGTCGAGGTGAACATAAAGTTCCTCTTTTATCGCTTCGGGTGTCGAGGTGAACATAAAGTTTCTCTGTTATCACTTCGGGTGTCGAGGTGAACATAAAGTTCCTCTTTTATCGCTTTGGGTGTCGAGGTGAACATAAAGTTCCTCTTTTATCGCTTCGGGTGTCGAGGTGAACATAAAGTTCCTCTTTTATCACTTCGGGTGTCGAGGTGAACATAAAGTTCCTCTTTAATTACTTCTGATGTTCCCCGTGTGGGTTCCGGGGCAAAGTTGTGGGGAAACCCAGAATAGACCCACTGCCTGCTCAAAAGCCTGTCGTAAGAATTAGGAGCTTCCTTCGAAGACAGAGTACATCTGCCTGAGAGGCAAGGAACCAACAGTCTGCGTGCAAATGAGTCAGACCTGTGAAACGGATATACACGCGACACTCAGGTTCTGGAACAAGACTAGAGTCCAGAAGTGGATGAACAACCAGAACTTTAAGCTGGAGCTTACAGCCGGTGAGCGCGAAGACGAAGAAGACTTCGGATGTCGATGGAGATATCAGGTTTTGCTGCTTGTTCTTCTAGCTGCCTCAACAGTTGATACATCTTGCTGTTGTAGAGTTTCTCTGATATCATTCTTCCATTTTGCCTTTGCTCAACGCCTCATTCTTTTCTGGGGGGTCTATGATTTATGGTATAGCGTCTCAAGGCATTCTCTCTAAGTTTACATCCCATCTTCTCCTACTTCTTCGCGTTCACTGACTGTTAACTCCGGCGGAAAGTTCTGGTTGTTCATCCACCTTTGGATCTTAGACTTGTTCCATAACCTAAGTGAGCGTGCACATCAATTTTACAGATCAGATTTATTTGTATGCAGACTGTTGGTTCCTTATCTCTCAGGCAGATATGTTTAAAGGAAAGCACTAATTACTCAGTTCTTACGACATGCTTGGGGAGGCAGTGGGTTTATTCCTGTTTTCCCAACAATGAGGCTCAGGAACCCACACAGGGAACATACCATCGTGTGTGCTTTCTTTGAATGTAATTTAGTATTGCTTCTATCCCAGTGATGTTTTACGCCTAGTAAAAATTTAAACAATGGATCAATAGTTTATCAGTTTTAATCTTCCCTTGAAGTCTGAGTAAATGTGTCCAGAGGCAGAGAACAAGAACTGCACACAAATAAGTCAGTAAAACGGATGCGCATGTTAAGAATACCTTGGCAGTTGAAAATCGAAAAGAGTAGCCTAACGGCACTTTTCGGGCAAAATATGGAGTTGAAAAACTACCCAAAGTAGTTCAGGATCCTCTCCTTCGGAATCAGGCTTAAGATAGAAATAAAACGGAATACTTATAAGTTACTACCCTTGTGCCTTGATGTTGATCCGTTGTTTAAACCATATTGCCAGGTTGAATCTAATTAATTCACGATCTTACATCATGGATTGTTCTTCGCGCCTTGTGTATATTCACGGTAAACCTGATAATGCCACAAGAGTTAAAGTGCCCTAAATTTATCACTACTCAAAATGAATTGGATTCGTGATACTAGCCCCATGAGTTTATATATCAGTTATCACCAGTGAGTGATATGGTCAGTATATGCGTCATCCTCTCTTTCCATAATAAATTGTAGCATCCATCTTCAAAATGTGATTAATTCAACAGGAGTGAAGAAATAAGAGAAATTTCTGGACAACCACTAGTATCAGAAGTTATAAGACAGAGACGATTTGCTCTATATTTACTAATTCTGAGAAGAACAAAGAAGACAAACAATGGATTGCGCAATTTATTGTCTGACATACTTCGCTGTATTTCATCAGGTGCGTAGTACAGTAATAATTAAATAAATGAAGCAAGTAAGTCAATCATTTATAAGTGAAGTCTAAATGCAACAACAATTTAAAGCAACGCCCTATTTTACCAGAGCAACCGCAATGTCAGAGTCATGTCTCGGTGTTTACAAAGT